TTCGTCTTTGTACGCGTTCCTGTCGATAGCAACAGTGACGTTGCCCTTGTCCGCACGCGTAAACACAATGTTTTGATGCGCCGACAAGAACAACCGAGTGTCCGACTCCATCCTAGTCAACTGTTTGTGGACATCTGAAGTGAAGACAGGAGAAGAGATGATATTTTTTAGGATGGGGATGGACTGGTTAACTATGTCCATTCTCCTGTCCAAGGGCATCCTCAATGTGCCACTTTCAATACCCTTGATGCAGTTGAAAATAATCTTGTTCTTGTTATCAAAGGGGAGCGCAAAGTTTTCACCCAGTTGTAGGAAACATTGAACATTGTTGGGAATGTCACACGAAGACAAGTTCAGGAACCAACCGTCCCTGACCGTGGACAGAGACGAAGGGACCTGTGACGGAAAGGAGTTAGGGAGTATGGAAATCGTAGGATTGGGAGAACAGTTATTTGGAAGAACAGAACTATCGACGAAATACGGTGCTGGATTAAGAAAGCCGCGCCCCAAAGACACACAGGTATTGTCCGATGTTAAGCTATACGATCTACGGACGGAGTCAGAACTATACTGTATGGGCGCGATCCTGACGATCACATACACATGGTTCACCTTTGCATGTGCGGGGGATCATTTTGATTCGTTCGGGTTTGCTGGTGAGTTTGCGATTTCATCGTGATAGCGGCGTTTCTAATTGTTAAAGTCTGTTTTTTCTTACAAGTTCTTTTTCGGTCTTATCTAGCGATCTGGCTTTGATAATGGACATCTTGATTGCTCAATCGTATTCTTGAGATCCATCTGAATTTTACTTCTTTACGTTTTATGTTAATTGCGACATGAATTGTTTTTTACTGATTTTTTACTTATCGTTTATTTTATCGCGCTTTACATCTGAAGAGGGCTCAATCTCGTAGCCGAAACTTGTTATATATATTTTTATATTTTTATACATTTTTATACATTTACACATTTATATGCGCCGTTCCGTATCTGTTCATGTATCGTCGCCTAATAATTTTAACTAATTAAATGTTTTTTAACCTACTGACTCTTCTTTCGCCGTTTATTTGTTTGTGTATATATATTTAATTTAATATAATTTAATTTAGTTTAGTTTAGTTTATTGCAAAGCTATAATGAAAAAGATTACATGTTAACAGAGTAATAGACATAAATACGATAGACAATAGTAGCTTGCAAATGATGGATTAGGCGTCAGCAGAATTGCTGTTACAAAGCCTATCAGTAATAAAACCAGAACAAGGCAACAATGCAATAAGAGGTAATAGCTGAAATCATACACACACATACATACACCCACATACATACACACACACACACATAAAACTCACTCACATATACACACGTGCATACACCCGCAAACACACCAATTATATCAGTTTCGTTTATATATTGTAGGAAGATCGTTTATAGATTGCAGGAAAGTTACATTTTAAAAGTAACAAGTTATAGTTACTCGTTACTGAGTAAAAAAAGCAACAAGTTACTAGTTATCAATTTTTTAAAGTAACTCGTTACAATTACCGTTACTTGAGAAAGTAACTTTTCGTTACCCGTATAGAAAATTGTTAGGGCTTATAAAAAGGACTTGATTAGTGTGTCCTAAAATTAATTAGGTCCTTTATGGCACGTAAATTGTTTATCAGGACCGTATAAGGAAAAATTATCAGGGTCCTATAAGGAAAAACTATCAGGGTTCTATAAAGAAAAACTATCAGGGCCGTGTAAAAAAAACTTACGGCCTTGTAAAGAAAAATTATCAGGACCTTATGAGAAAATGTTATAGAAATGAATTTTATGGTATTTTAAAACGTCACTCATTCGAATGCGAACCATCATTCGCGTTGCTTGACCTCTATAATCGTACAGAAACTGTTACTTCGATCCATGAACACTGAATGTTAATGAATGTATAATTGTGATATAATATATCTGTCAATATAATCCTTGTAGAAATTTGTGCAACTTAAGTGAACATCCAGTCAGTATTTTTTTATACATGCTCATACGCACTTTTAGAAGGTGAAACTTTAGAAAAAAATCGGGTTTTTTTTTCAAAGTGAATATTGCCGGAACTGTAAAAGATAGAAAAAAATTTCCGGAATAAAAATTGAATGGCTTCAAGAGCACTTTAGAATTATAATAAAAAAAATTTCAGACATTCTAACAGAGCATTCGTTATAAAGGGTGTCCCAAAATTAACACAAGATTTGAATTTGCCGCTATTTGTGCAGTAAAGTGTTGGCAACCCAAAAAAAAAAAACAATTTAACAGCTGACAGTTTAGGGTTAGTGAAAATGGACCGTGAAAATGGATTATTGAACATCAACAAATGGATGCTGATTTTTCGAGCAAAATCATCCTAAGCGATGAAGCACATTTTCACCTTGATGGCTTTGTTAATCGCCAAAATCACCCCCTAGATCGTGTGATTTAACACCATTAGATTTCTTTTTATGGGGTTATTTGAAATCACAGGTCTATGTCAACAAGCCCACAACCACCCATGCATTAAAGGAGGAGATTCAACGCTGCATCAACGAAATTCAGCCACATTTATGCAAAATGGTCATGGAAAATTTCGACAAACGAGTGCGTATGTGCATGCAAAGCCGTGGAGGCCATTTGCCCGATATGTTATTCCACAAATAACCCTATCCTATGTACTTTATGATTCAATAAAAAAATAACAATCAAAAGACTAAAAACTGTGTTTTCTATTTAATTCAAATCTTGCGTTAATTTTGGGACACCCTTTATTATAACTATAGCTTTAATTGGAAGAATATAAAAATATTAGACTCAGAATCGAATTATAATAAAAGACTTATTTCGGAAATATTACATATTATAGAGTAGGTCAATAGTATAATTTTAAAAAAAGATATAGAATCTAATGACCTATACCATAGTATGTTTATCTGTTGAGTACCTTTGTTAACAACGAAACGTTAGCGAGTAGTATGTTTCTCTCTGTTCGTCCAATATCGTCGCACATAAGCAGCAGCATTTGCGATTTATTGTCTGTCCGGTGAAGATCGTTCACATCATTATTAAGAGATATTATATATTTAAAGATATTAATTAAATTAAGGAAGGAAGGGTTATGGGGAATAGAACCTTTTTGATTACTGTATTATTGTAAGTAATTGCATTATTGGGATAACTACAATCCTTCAATGTTTTTTACGTTCTTTTTTAACAAGTGACTGTATTGCGACATTATAACAATATTATCATTTTAAACTTTTAAATTTCACGTTATGTTATACACGTTATTTTATTTAACTTCAAAAACTATTATACTTACTTTACATAAATTATTATTTTTAATTTTTGTTTAACTTCACAAATTATTATAAAAATTAACGCAATGTGTACAACTCTGTGACACTTAGTAATTCTTATTAGCCGCTCTACACCACGTGGATGTTACATCTTTATATGTGTTCGTATATACGAATATACAACCATCTTATACAACTGGAAATAATGTTACCATTAAGTAAATGACTGGACTTTCTTTTCTGATAACATTGACTACCCTTTTTCGTGGTTAACCAAAGAGTTGATTTGAATCTACAATTTATATATAATATATTTTTATAATTTGACTCAGTATAACATGATTTAATTTGCAACATATTGGTATGGCAACATAGTGGATGAGATGATCCGATTAATACATTTTTTATACTATTACAAAAATTAATTTATAAGTTTTTAATATGTTCATATAAATTATTAACGATTTTTATTTCATTTAAACACGGCCGATGAAGACTTAGTATGATCAAAACCGTGAAATGATAATAAAAGAATAATAAAAGTTAGTAGGGGTTATAGGCGGGTTCTGGCTCAAAGGAGCTAGAGGGGGGTGCGGGGCGCGGAAGGTACTTGTAGGCACGGGGGGTACTCGTTGGCGCGGAGGAAGGCTCGGGAGGGGAGGAAAGCGCGGGAAGATCCTAGCGGCATCGTTGTTTACATAAACATAGGACCTCGGTCGATTGATTACAATGCGTTTCTTATTTTTTTCGTCATCCGCCACCGCTGCCGCCGCGGATCCGCGTCCACCCCAAAAAGTGTGTAGATAACAAGGGCTCGTATGCTAGAGAAAGATAGAGCGCGACGATATTAGAGCGCATAATATGATATGAGTGAAGAAAGGATGGAAGAAATAAATTAATAGAATCCTCTTTTTTATGACGCAGTTTTTTTCAATACGGTTTTTTATTAGAACGACGACGTATAGGATGGATGGATGGATGAAAATAAAGAGTAAAATAAAGTACATATATAAAATGATGTAAACGAAAATTTTTTATTCACATCTTATTACACTTATTTTTTCTTATACGTATTAAAAACTAAAGCTAATAGCTCGCAATCGCTGACGTTCATTGAAGAAGTCGCTGTCGCGTAATTTTACAATATAGCTCTTATTATATAGTTCTTACAATATTTATAAACAGGATCTTAATTTAATTTAATTTAATTTAATTAATTTCAAATCCTTCGAATTTTAAGCACCTGCTTCCGATTAGCAATAAAATGTACATTTACTTTTCACACTGTTTACAATATTAGCTAAAGCATAAACTATTAACTCACATTCTATATTTGATTTGTTATTATAAATTTTGCGCAAAAAGTCTACAGTATTACATTTATCGATAATACAATTTTCATCTAAAGTGTTACAAAATATTTAAATTGACGACATACGTACTCGTATACTGGTATACGAGGGGGGACCCATAAGTTCCGGGAATTACGCTGTGGTGGGGAGGGAGAGTGGGGGAACCTATTGTTTGACCACATGTCCGTTAGTGTCACGCCACTTGCGTCAGTGTGCGAAGTTGTGTCGCTGTGAGTGCATCGGTTCGCCTGTGAGATTTTTTTTAGTAAAACAACTTTTTACATTTCGGCGAAAACGTAATGGCAGATTGTCGAGAACAACGCGCGACTGTGAAATTTTGTTTCCTGTTGGGGAAATCGGCCGCGGAAACTATCGTAATGCTTAAGACTGCTTATGGGGATGCTGCCTTAAGTAAAACCAGAGTTTACGATTGGTTTTCACGTTTTAAAAATGGAGAAATGTCTATTGAAGACCAATTTCGTTCAGGACGCCCCTCAACGTCAAGAACTGATGAAAACCTCGACAAAATCAATGCCCTTGTTCGTGAAGACCGTCGCCGAACCATTGATCAACTCTGTGAGATGTCGGGAATTTCATGGAGTTCAATTCAGAGAATTTTATCCGAAGATTTGCACATGAGAAGGGTTGCAGCCAAATTCGTCCCGCGACTTCTCACAGACGAGCAAAGGGAGCGTCGACTTCAGGCATGTTTTGAGCTTCAAAATCAGCTCGAAGAGGACCCTGAATTTTTTTCCAAGGTGATTACTGGTGATGAATCGTGGTGCTATGGATACGATCCCGAAACAAAGCAGCAATCAAGACAGTGGAAGACAGCTGGCTCTCCTCGTCCCAAAAAAGCTCGCCAAGTGAAGTCAAACATCAAGACAATGCTCATTTGTTTCTTCGATTGCAGAGGTGTTGTGCACGCGGAGTTCGTTCCCCCGGGTCAAACTGTCAACCAGAAGTTCTACTTGGAGGTTTTGAAAAGATTGAGGGAGAGTATCCGGAAGAAAAGGGCAGATCTTTGGCGCACAGGCGACTGGTTCTTCCATCATGACAACGCGCCGGCCCACACCGCCCTTTCCGTGAAGCAATTTTTGACCAAAAACGCCATGACACCAATTGTCCACCCCCCATACTCACCGGATCTAGCCCCCTGTGACTTCTTTTTGTTCCCCAAATTCAAAAGGAATATGAAAGGAAAGCGTTTTGCCACTGTGGAGGAGGTGAAACAAAAATCGCTGGAAGGCTTAAAGGACATCCCGATGAGTGAATTTAAAAACTGTTTTGAACAATGGAAGAATCGTTTGGAGAAGTGCGTTGTGGTCAATGGCGAATACTTTGAAGGTGATTAAAATTTGGTGTTAAAATATTGAGAAATAAAGAAGTTATGACGAAATTCCCGTTTTTTTTGGGTCCCCCCTCGTATATAGATACGAGATGTGTTCAAAAAATATCGAACCTTTGATCGGCAAAAATACATTTATTCATACACAATACATTTACTCTAATCTCCTTCAGGGGACTACTTTGAAGGAGATTAGAGTAAATGTATTGTGTATGAATAAACTTTTGCTGACCAAAGGTTCGATTTTTTTAGCACATCTTGTATATACCAAGCAGATATAAATCAGATGGTGTTTATACCAGCGTGTGCTGCTTGGTACAGCGTGGCACTAAAACACTAACCAGAGCCTCCTCAAATTTCCAAATTTATTTTGCGTCTCCAAAATTCCTTTTCATATGTTATATACAATCAATTTATGTAAAGAAAGAAATATACTTTTTTGACCTCCATTATTTTTTCTTAATAATTTTTGGGTTTTTAGCTTTTCAGTAAAATTAATCTCCTGTAAAAACGTTTGTACTAAATTGATATTTGACGAATTTTTAGTTTAAAGTTATAAGGAATAAATCTTAAGTAGCATTTTACTGCTCAAATTCAAATTCTTATACTTTATATAGCATGAAAAAGAACTGGTTACTTTTGGGTGGTCTTATCTTATAATTAAATTCTGATGTAGTAAAAACGCAGATATTGTCGAGACTATTAATATTTCTGAATGCAATGGGTTTTAATCTAATCTAACCAGGGTAGAACCGATGACGTCATATGCTTTACTTTGATTTCTGATTGGACGGGGTCATGATACTTTCAAGTCAAACATAAGTTAACCGAACTGAGTCGGGTTCAAACTCACCGTACTCGAAAACGTTATCTATAATATAATAAAAATAATAATGAATAAAGTAATTAGCATTTTTATTTTTATTACAAAGATATTGATTTGATACTGAATTTGATATTGATGATTTACATGCAAATATTGATAAGTATTTATGTATAGAAAAACTATCAGATCAAATACTAATGTTTATGTATCATTTATTTCAGGACATCCATAAACCAATTCTGCTGCAACTATTAAAAGCGACATCCGCCATTATTCTTACTGGGTACATTCCTGAAAATGCATCAAGGTATTTTAATTTCATACTTTAATTTCGCATCAGACTATGCAGATAATTCATAATTCGCGATTTGTGTCATAAAATTTATGGACCAAAAAAATTCAATAAAATATCATTAAAATATAGACAACTAATTTGCCAGGAAAATGATTTCTCAAAAAAATTTAAAAAATACGAATCATTAATTTATTCATGACGATTCATATTGTGACAGTACTTGCAAATAATACGAATGCACAACTTCGTCGCGTGCTCTAATATATTTCTCAAATAAAAAAATTCTCTTACGGGATAACTCGGTAACCAAACAAAATTTTCGCAAAATATCAGAGCTTTTACACAAATACAAGTTGAGCACCAGGCACGAGAGAGCGTACCACTTTTTCGTTAATTTTTACTTATTCTACGATAGTCACGCGAAAACACAATTTGCGACGGCAACAAGAGAAAGTCGTTATATATAGGCAGGAAAGTTATCGGAGGACAAGAGCGATAGGCTGTAAAAATAAGAAATTAACAAGAAAATAGATACCAAGTGTATTTGAGACGCAGATTCACAACTGACTTTTAGAAATTAGTTGATAGACCTGATCTTTACAGATTCGGCATCAACGGAAAACAATAAAGTCGATATTAACTCCGGTTAGGCAACCGCATTAGATCTTGCTAAATCTCAGCTCTCAACGAAAGATTACATCTGAAAGGCGAGTATTGTATGACAATCAGGTGCGGAATAAAGTCTGTCGCCGGTATACAAGAACTCGTATACTGACAAAAAGTATATCTACAGGATGAATTATATCGGCGCGAATTGGAACGGATCTCTAACGCGGATTTTACAGTGATTTTGTTGTCGCAATTAACGAAAATCTTGACTGGTTAATACACAAAGAAATAATACAAATTGACTTGACTGTGGTAAGGGGACGAGAGCTAATCGACAGTTAGTATTTTTCTGTGTTCTGATGGATGGCACGTGGCTCGTAATTTTGCTGATTTACACGGCAGCCATTAGATCAGCCATTCGGAACTTCTCGAATTTTCATACGTGATCCACCCAAGGCTAGGACCCTTGTGATCGACAGCTTTACAATTATGGCAACGTTCATCTCACTCAACGGCTCCTTGTATCCTCTGATATTCTATTTCCTTATGGTAATCGCTAATATGATTTCTTCAGCCTTTCTACGATAGTCCTCTGTTTGCGAAGAAACCGTGCGTTTTCTGCTAGTTCAGCCACAGTACGAGTGCCGGGAGTTTCCCATGGATTCACGCAGAGCCCCCCTTTCGGCCCCCTTCTAATCGGACCCACTTACGCGGCTCCGCGAATCGTATAGGTTTTTGCAGACTCTTGCGCTTTAAAGCGTGCTATATATGTAGGCTGCTGGAAAAGTTTCTGAAATTAAGTACTTCCAGTGGCGCCAACGTTCTGTTATTATCATATCCGTAAAATTAGACGTTTTTAATCTATAATTCAATTGACAGTTTGTACCCAAGCCAACTAGTTTTGTTTGCATAGTATTTTAAAAGAAGTTATTTTGTAAGAAAATGGAAATTTCACGGGCAACGATTTTTTACGATTACAAATGTAATCTAACTCCGAAACAATGCATTGATCGACTTCATTTGACTTTTGGGGATGAAGCACCATCCAATAGGACTGTTTATAATTGGTTTGCCGAATTCCAGCGTGGACGTATCTTTCTTGATGATGGATTCCGTGAAGGTCGTCCATTCATGTCTGTTGCCACTAATGTTGATGCTGTGCATGAAATGATTGAGCAAGACTGGCATATAACATACCGCGAGATTCAGGCATCCTTAGGCATTGATATGAAAGCAATACATACGATTTTGCATGATCACTTGAACGTACGGAAACTTTGCAGTTGTTGAATCCCACACAATTTGACCGAATCTCAAAAACAGGCTTGTGTTAAATGGAGCAAAGAAATGCTTAAGAAATTCAACCGAAGTCAAATTTGGTCTACAACATCGTTACTGGGGACGAAACATGGATCTATTCGTATAAGCCCGAAAGTAAGCAACAATCCATTGTTTGAGTATTTCAAGATAAACCAAAACCAACAAAAGTTGTTTGTTCACGCAGTGCTGCCAAACAAATGATTGCTTGTTTCTTCGGTTATACCGGATATGTGACAACCGTGGCTTTAGAGGATCGAAGGACTGTAAATACTGATTAGTACTATATATAACAATTTGTTTGTCAGAAGTCATAAATGAATTGCGTAGAACAAACCGAAATCGTCGCATCATTCTTCATCATGACAACACTAGCTGTCATGCAGCACGTCAAACCGTTGATTTTTTATCCAGTAATAATGTCGAATTGATGACTCATTGTCCGTATTCACCCGATTTATCATCTAATGACTTCTTGTCGTTCCTAAACATTAAAAATAAGATGCATGGTGAGCGATTTGAGTCGCCTGAAGCAGCTGTTGAAACATTTTGTACACTGATTTCTGAGGTTACAGCCTTAGAGTGGAAAAAATGCTTCGAAAATTGGTTCGAGCATATGCAAAAATGTATTGATCTTAAAGGCAAATACTTCGAAAAACAATAAAACCATTTACCGAATTTTATATGTTTTTTTTTTCATATTGTTTGCAGAAACTTTTTCAGCTACGTATTTTGAAACGGGACTTCTATGATGCTCTCTGGGTTATTCGGATTAGCTCAAAAGATCCTGGCAAGCTTCACCTGCAGTTCTGCGTAGGGGTGTTTTTATCTCCAACTGGTATTCTTCTCAGCCATCTGGTATATTTGGAGCTTTCTCCTTTCCATAGTTCTTTTCTGCAATATAATAAAGTTCAGAATGACAGCGCATTACAAAAATATACGAAATTAAACCTGCCTGTTCGGGCTCCCGGTTGAGGTCACTTCCAGCTTATTATCGCATCTTCGTTCTTCACTGCATTTCTCTGTGTTTATTGTAAATAGATTTTTGAACTTTTCTCAAATAATAATTGCTCCTTTAAGATCAATAATACTAAACACTCTACTCCCATTCAAGCACGCGGATATCATCCGGCCGAGGTAAAACACAGACTTCCATCGGTGACCCGATTTACAGTTTTTTTTTAAATATACACAAAGTCTGATATCTGAACTGTTTTTCTTTGGTACTACTACCACAGGACTGGCCCAATCGCTATGTACCACTTTCTCCAAAATACCAGCTTTGACTACTTTTGTTATTTCTTTTTCTAGTTCAGGTTTTAATGCATAAAGCATATCATACATCGGAAGAAAGATTGGACTGACTCCTTCTTTAAATACAATTTCTATCTTAAACTTTTGAATGTGCGAGTTTGGCTCTTCTTTAAATACTTTAGGAAATTTCCGTCTTAGTTCTGCTATTGACTCCACGTTGTTAGAACCTTTTTTTAGCTGAAAAAAATCACTCTTAATTAGTTTATTAATTGCTAACATATTAATATCTTGAGTCTAAGTAATAATGTTCTTGTCTATATTTATATATTATATATTACCGAAAATTTATTTTTATGTAAAAATAAAAATAAGGGAAACAATCTCCAATGACCTTGATCTTAACAAATGTTATTCAGGACATGATCCTGGACAACATTCAAGAAGCTTTAGGCGTCGGCCTTGGTAATGCTAATGCCGGTTACTGTAAGCCTGATAACTTGCAAAGTACTTAATGAAAATGAACTCAGTTATAGTGTTTTGGAAAGCTCTCGAGATAACATACAAGAATGTGTA